TTTCCTAACGATGGGGAAAGATTTCTACAAGATTTTAGGCATCAACAAAGGGGCAGATGACGATGAAATAAGAAAAGCTTACCGGAAAATGGCACTCCGATATCATCCAGATAAAAATAAATCACCTAACGCAGAGGAAAAGTTCAAAGAAATCGCAGAAGCTTACGAGGTAGGTGCTGATTTTCTGTATAAGTGTTTCAGGTGCTTTCTGACCCCAAAAAACGGGAAGTGTATGATAAATTTGGTGAGGAAGGGCTGAAAGGAGGTGCATCGACCAGTGAAGGTGGCGGGCCAGGTTTCACTTACACCTTCCACGGTGATCCTCGTGAAACATTCCGCATGTTCTTCGGAACGGATGATCCTACGGCGACAATATTCAATATCGGTGGGTTTGGTCCCTTTTCTGGCGGAATGGGGGAACAGATGGATGTTGATGGTGACTTCTTCCCCGGAAAATCTCCTTTTGCTGTAAGTGAATTATTGCATTTTGTCATGATTTTACCAGGTGGTCCACCGCCTGCGCAGGCCGTTATGCGAATTAGCTCGTTTTATTGGTTTATGTGTTCCGCAGTGAATTTTATTTGTCGATTCGTCACAGGCGCGGTTTTTTCGTATTTTTCCTTCAGGTGGGTTCTGTTCAGGCCAGGCTGCACTGCATATGGCCACGACCAATTGAGCGTCCAGAATTTATGCGATGGTATAATTACTTTTCCAACCACTGCCTGCATAAAAAACATCGCTCACCGGGGCAACCTACTTGGTGACATGCGTAAAACATGTCCCAACCAACGTGATCTATGCAGGTCGGTCACTTGCTCCAGTGGACGACCGCGACTGCCTAAAACTCTGCGCTTACCCTCAGTATGCTCGTCCGGTTTCCCCACCAGCCTTGTGCAATGCGACGTATACAACGGTGTTTGAACACCGACAATCTTTTTTATTGTTCTCTTGGTGTCCAAGTCTCTGCACCGTAGAGCAGTACTGACAGAACTGCTGTAGCATTTACTCAACCCTTAACAGACAGACGGATATCGCGACGGCGCCGCAGGTGTCAGAAGTTGGCAAATACCAACCGGGCTTTTTATATACGCGCCGACACTTCATCTATAATGCGTCCGCTAAGTGAGGTATAGCTGCCGAGATGAAAAATGTCTACTTCCTCTACTACTTCCCCAGTCAGGGTGAGACTGGGCGCTGAATCAACCCAATCTTGGAGCAACATTTAACACTTTAAAGGCGCAAAACGCATGTCGAACATGGCTGCACTAGCACTCAAACTATCCAGAAAAGCTTGCAAGTTACCTGCATCTTCAATTAGTAGCACATTGTCGTCTGCATACTCTAGATTAGACAGTCTGTCACCTGGGGGTAAATCGGTACCGCTATCCTCGCAGTAGGATAGGGCTGTTTCAAGAAACAAAACCATCACGAGGTTGAATAGAAACGGAGAAAAAGGACAACCCTGTCGAAAACCACTTTCCGTGGTGAACTCTGGTGAAAAAGTGTCGTAAGCTCGGGCGAATCTGAGCTTTGTAAAGCGAGAGGAGGTAAATCGGGGTGAAGAAACGTCTGTCGCGTAAGAGGAAACCAATTTTGCACACAGCGCGGGAAACAAGTAGAT